AAAAAACAAAGACAGTAAAACAAAAAAAAAAGAAGTTTTTTACCATAGAAGAAACTATAAGCTATGAAGAGTGTGTTTTTTTTCGTACTTAGGCAGAGTACAAATGGGAGGTTTGGACTGTATGATCTCCTTGTTGATCAGCTCCTTCTCCAGGTCTCCCCCAGCCAGACACCACAGATAGTAAACCTCCTCTATGGTTCGCTCAGACAGGAAGTTGTCATCATCATCTGACATCAAACACAGAAACCACCAATGTGTTCTAACAAGTAATGTTCCGTCAATTGTCTTCAATCGAAGTTGAATCCAGATGTCTAGAATAAATTTTTTTAAAAATTGTGAACTGAGCGATATAAAGTAACTGAGACAAAACCGTTGCAAATGTCACTGATGTCTTCTGGGAGCTCCAGATGTGCACATCGAAGTGAGGAGGAGAAAAGTCTAACGGGTTTCTGGAAAGGTGTGTAAAGACACGAGACCCCAGAGAACACAGGGTCTGACAGCAGCTGTGTGGGAGTGGGTCTGGAGGGAACAGAAAAACACAGACATGTTGAAAACGGTTTAAAAAGTTAAGAACAGCGAGTACTGTTTGACTAAGCTTGTTAATACAACAATCCCACTCTGCATGACAGGCATGACGGCAGTGTTTTGAAAACCAAATGTCCCACAGGAACAGGAAATGACACTCAGCACAAACGGTTTACCTTTTGGATGGAAGAAAAGTCAAGCATTTCCTCAATAACTCCAGGACATTCTGGGGTAAGTCCTGTGAAGACATGACACATTAGCTGGAGAACACTCACCACAGATGGAGGGCATTAAGATTTTTATTAGCAAGTTGTTTTTTATGAGACAATAATCCATTTGTTTATTAGTCCATTTTTATTCAAATTTCAGCAATAATGTCAGCAGTAGAATTCTGGGAAGTGTCTTAATAAGCAGGTTAAGTTCAACGATTCTAACACTGGAGTAAAAAAAAGGAGCATCCACCAATGGCTTGGCTTCATGATGAAGGTTGAGTG